CAGTTGTTCAGAGGATTAATTGGTATTGGATTAATCCTAACATGTGTGAGAAAATCAAGTGAACAGGTGTTTTGCTGACCTTTAGGTAATTCAGGAAATATATTTTTTCCATTTCTTTTGAATTTGGGTTTTTGTGTGGGAGAAATCTTATGCACAAGTGAACAGGTGTTTGATATATGTAAATTAGTATTGAGCTAAAATTAGGGGCCTGGGGGTAGGGGCATGCTGTGTGATAGAATGAATGATGAACCTTATACATATATGTATGGTCGTCTTTAATGTTCGTCTGATATAAAAGTTTACATTGCATATTCTTGGCAGTCCAAAAGTACATGCATGTTTCTGTCTATGTTTGTAAGACTTTGCTATTACTTCACATGACACAGCTCTTTACATCAAAAGCTCTAGTAGGGATCAACAATTAGCTGAAGAGATGAACAACTGTTGTGAAATTATTTGCGCTCATTCACATCTTTGTTCCTTCCTTTGCCAGTGCCGCCCTATGAGTATTGAGAAGGAGGTGTTCCCTTACATGGCAGAAGAGGGCCAGCTTTATGCACAAGAGCTCCAAGGCTTCTGGATGGACATTGGACAACCAAAGGACTTCCTGACAGGAATGTGCCTCTACCTCAACTCTTGCAAGATTAATAACAGTGCCAAGCTCTGTAAAGCCCCAGGTGAATGAGTTGGAGTCATTCAGGATTTCAGTCTATTGTATTATTTTTTCACAGTGACTTTGTCTTGGTTTAAAGAATTATTATATTAAAGGTTTTCTTTCTTTGTTCATGCAGGTATTGTTGGCAACGTCCTTGTAGACCCTTCAGCCAAAATTGGGAAGAACTGTCGCATTGGCCCCAATGTGACTATAGGGCCTGATGTGGTGATTGAGGATGGAGCTTGTATCAAGCGGTGCACAATCCTTCGAGGAGCCACCATAAAGTCACACACGTGGCTTGAAAACTGCATAATTGGATGGAAATGTATTGTTGGGAAATGGGTAGGTATTCTTATCTTTCTTCTGCTCCTTTCTCAGTCAGTAATTTTTACTTCTGTTATATTTTCCTTTGCTTAGCTTTATGATCTCAAATTGACTCCATGTATTGTACTATCTGTCCTTGCATTGCATTTATGTTTGCCATTTTTCCTCTGCAAAATAATTCACTCACCTGTTCCTTACAGGTGCGCATGGAAAACGTTTCTGTGTGCTGGCGAGGATGTGTGATTGTCAAGGATGAACTTTATGTTAATGGCGGAATGGTGCTTCCACACAAGAGCATAGCAGCCTCGGTCTTAGAGCCCAAGATTATCATGTGAAACAAACCCTTGTGGGAACGGGTGTGCTATTTATATGAGAATCCTTTTTGCCTTACTCGTAAGATCAATCTTCAGGTTTAAAACTTTTATTGTGTATTGTTCAATTTTTTTGTATTCAGATTTTTACTCCATTTACGTTTTTCTCTCTTCATTCATACTTAGATAGAATTATGAATTATTTTCTATAATATATTTATATACATGTAATTTATATGTATTTCTGCCTTTCTAAATTGAAGTTGAAGAGTGTGTGAAGCAATATTGAGTGTAGGGAGTGGGTGTGTTCCTTTCGTAACTACAATAGAGCAAATTTTGTTTTTTTCTGATTGGTCTCAGGCTGAGTGTTCTGCAATATATTGTACGGAGATAAATCAATTAACAGAAGATAAATAAAAATTCCTGTATTAAAAAGGCAAAAGTTTAGAGAAAATTTTTACAAATTAATATTGCTAATTCCAGTATTTTCAGGCACAATTCTTAATATCATATGGATATGAACTATATGTGTGACTTTATACGTGACTTAGCAGCTAGTGTAAAGGTTAAATATTGTTGACATTTTATGAATTTTGAAAGAAAGAAAAAAAATATTTTAGAACTGTTTCAAGGTACAAAGAAACAAACTTCATCTGTATGTATGTGCAACCTGAAGATAAGTTCTAACTTTAATTGAAATATGTTTTTGATTCACATTATACTTTTATTCTCTTTGTAATAGATAGATATTCTCTCTTTTTCCATGGTTATTTTTATGCATCCTAATATGTGTCCTACAAAGATTATCACGGATTTTAGTTTTCTATCCTAATGTCACTATTTAAGGTATTTAATTTGCAGTTTGTGGATGTTTTGCTCACGAGAAATGGAGGTTTTGCATAGATTGTTAATTTGTATTGATTATTCAATATTCCAAAATGACAGTTTCCATATTCTTAGGCAGTGTTGTCTTACATGAAATAATTATAAGACTAAGAAAAAAAAGGCTATTTAATGTAATGAAATCAAATTCTTGTTAAATTCTGGAAGTAAGTGACAAAGTTGTTAACTTTTTTCTACGGTACTTCTAAGATTTTTGTCTAATAAAATATACTTTAGCATATACCTTTTTTTTTGTCAACCATAACTGAAGAGAATATTAGATGAAATTAGTTATGTAAGCAACAAGTACTTTTATCAATTGTAACCATTACAGAAATGCTTCAGAAACTAAATTGTTTGGAACTACATTTACCAATGGTTTATCTATTTTATATTTTATACTTCTTTATATATATATTATATATATATATATATATATATATATATATATATATATATATTATATATATATATATATATATATATAAATATATGTTTACAAAATACATATATATTACATATTCAAAGCTGGATTTAGATGGAGAGGGCCTAGGCAATTTTATTTGTGAAGCCCCTCCATATCTCATTCTCACAAGAGGAAGATGGAAGTGTTTTAAAAAATATTTTGAGTAAAGCCAAGGATGATGACTGGGGTTTAAAATCCACAGATGGTTTTTGTGACTTTTGTTGGCTCTACTGTTCTCACCAAATGGGGTTCACTATAAAGAAGAAAAAATCCTGTATAACATACACGTGCATTTTTTCTTAAAGAAAGACCTGTCCTTCATTGACAATTAGATTGTAAAATCTGAATTGAATCTGCTTTCAAAGCCATTTTCAAAATGTGTTTGCCTTTTCCCATCATTAACAGACACTACAATAAGTGCAGTTGTATTATTATTACTGACTTGACTGATGAAAACAGCATCATCCTTTTCAGATACTTGCACAACAGTGTTTTCTACTTCTCTATTTCATTGCTCTCTGGAAATTAAAAGATCTATAAAAAATTAATACTAGTACTGAGTTAATGGCTTTAAGACAGTATTATTCTGAAATGGAATGTAACGAAAATTACTGAAGGGTTGTTCACTCTACAAAGAGTTATGACAGCATATGTAAGAAAGACCTATGAGTGTCAAAATTATTATACGCCTTGGCTGGAGGTCCCTTAGATTTTGAGTCAGTCTGCTAAGCCTATAGGTAAATCCGGCATTGCCAGTATTTTAGTAAATATATTATAAACAAGGGTATTATTTATGAATGAGTAATACAACAGGGTAAGATTTATAATACCATTCATTTTAGATTTTTTGTGTTTTATGATTATTCTAAGAACTTAATTGTAATAATGTATAATATATATATTTATTTGCTTAATTTCAAAGGTCATTAGGAGTATATTCAGAATATAGCAATATGGTGAGGCTGGGGGAGAAGCCATGTCTAGTATACCTCAACTTCTAGCTAAATGTCCCATGTATATCACATGCAGGATTTTTAACTCTTGTAGTACACAATCAAACCCACAGCACTGCTGAATTTCAACCTTATCTAAAATGAGTAAATGTCATTGTCATTACAAAAACGCATAAAAGATTGGGTTTTGTGAAAAATACGTTCTACCAAATCTTCAACATGCTAAAACTGCTGTGAAATTGGTTTCACATTGTGATTATATCATGACATTATAAAAGAGCAGGATATTGAAAATCAATACTTAGTTCTCTTTTATTATCAGTGATTAGTAAGAAACTTTTTTTCTTCTTTTCTTCATCCAAGTACATGAAAACACAACATGAAAGTTACTCAGCCTGAAACAATTACATTGTTAATTCCGATCTTATATTGAGTATCTGGTTTCCATTCTCTTTCCTTCCTGGTCTGCACAAGTGAAGGCCACAAATATAAAAAATATTAAAAAAGTAATTATAGTAGAAATGGTATATATATATACAAAGTATCAAATAAAAATTAAATTTTGGTCCATTCATGGCAGGACACACATATGTCTTACATTTTACATATAGAACCACAAGGAAATGTGGCTATGAAATTGCCTAAACCTAAAATTATAAAAAAAAAAAAAAATAAAATAAAAAAAATTAAGGGTAAAAAGAAAGCCACACATGATCACTATCACTATATTAAGATATAAATCTAATTTATACTTTTTGTTCAGTAAAAAGTAGTATGATATATAAACTATGGTATAACACCCAGCATATAAATATCTTGCAAAGATAACACACTGGACAAATGTGATGGGTAACAACTGGTTGTCTGATGGCTGGAGGGTAGACCTTTCTCCTTGGGAGAAATAGGTGACAGTTAATAATAGTACTGATTAAATGGACGATGTGCATTGCTCATGCACGCAACACTGGGATCAAGACACTGGCCCAGGCTGTAATGCTGGCAATGCTGCACAAAAGTACCTTGTACTCAAAAGGGAGGTACCATCTCTTGGCAATCAGGAGAGGTGGTTAAGTAAATTGCACTTTTTCCCCCACTAAGAGACTAGTTTTCTCATCAAGTGAGAGATGAAAAGGGAGGGACTGGAAGAAAGGGAGGGAGAGAGCTCACCTGTTGTCACAAACAGTTTCTTTCATTTGTCCTTGCAGTATGTGCTTACACTGAGGGACAAGATTTTTTCTGCAGCCCAGACTGTTACATCTGATGACCACAAAGCACCAGTCTTTTGTTTTCAATGTGGACTGTATTTATCAACTGCATTTCAATTCCAAGACCTAAAAACTCCATAGGAGTAACTTGGAATATTTTTTTTTTCTTTTTTTTTTATTGTATTTTCTTCCTTGATAAGTGCATTAACACATCTTGGTGATGTTGCTTTTCTTTGCTAAAAGGACATTATCCTCCAAAATTATCTGAAAATGACTTTTAAATTGCACTGACATGTCATGGATACCCCAAAAGCATAAACATGAAACTAAATCAGAAAACAATAAGTAAAGCACTGCTAACACTGCGAGTCTATGATTTATTCATTACTATTAATATGCAACAATTGGGCAGGCTAGAATTTATACATCACTGGTTCTAACTAGCTTTAAAAATTTATTTTCCACAGAAAGAGTATAGAGAAATATTACAATGATTTAAGTGAAAAAATGCACTGGAATCAGCAGATAAACTGTGGAAAAAATGAGAGAACCTGAACATGACTTGAGGTTTTCATCAGACTAAAGCCACATCACAGCAGACTGGTTTAAATAAGTAGCACAATGTAGCAGTGATAATACCATATCACAAAAATTGGGTAAGACAATACATTTCAATGTGCATCTCCTTACATGTTATGCACCAACATCTACCCATTCAGGATGACTCAAGACCATGCAAACATGAAAAAAGACATAAAGATTAATAATCAATTGTGGTGCCATATTGTAGTTATTGGCATTTGGTCATCCGGGCCCATGCGCGTAATTTTTGCATATCTAGCTATAACCAGGCTCAACGGAGCAAAGTCTTCGTTCCGTGTGGCTCCATTCACCTCTCGGCGCAGACGATTCTACCATGAACCTGGGCAAATATTACCACTCCTGTCATTTTGCAATGGCCCGCCGGCACTATAATGATGAGGACCGCTAGAAGTGATTACGGGGGAGGCTGTGATTAGACAAGACAAATTATGACAAATTTGTTGCAGCTTGACTTCTCCAGCTATAACGCTCTTAACACTGTTGGACTGACAAGAAAAGCAGACGACATAAATATAGACAATATTATTTTATTTGCTCTCTTCCTCTTTTGATCACAGATTATGTCTGTGAGCGCATTCTTGTGTATTCGAGATGAACTAACTCAAGACGCATAAGTTTAAGTATCCTGCGGGCGAGATAAGGGCTGGCGAGTTCAGAAGATGGTACGCAGAAAGAACATTTAACAGGTAAAGGATACAATTTTCACGTGTAACATTTTGTAGAAATGATGGTAGGGAAACAAGAAGAGGTACAAGAGTCAGAATTTTCTGGGATCATAGATACATCTCAGCGAACCGACTTCACCAAACTAAGTAGAAGCTAATGCTTACAACAAGCTCTTTTATGTTTTGGTCAAAACACGCACAATTTTTAGGTTCCGACGCTGGAGCTGGCGTATTGCCCATGGTCTTTGTGCACCGCAGGTAATGTACAGCACAATGACCCTGACGCGCACACGCACACGACACAATGAAATATCTAGCTCCCATAATAGGATAGCATGACTTCCGATAGCATACAGCAGAAGATAAAAGCATATCCTTCTCTTACTCCCGCTCTCTTGCTCTCCGTATCACACCCGTTTCCCTTCCTCCCCATTTGCAATACCTTCACGCAAATTTCGGGACTGTTTTAAGTTCGGTTTTTCGAAAACGGAAAGAAACACTATAGCACATGATAACGTAGGTAGAATTATGAAAAGCGTAAGGACAACAGTGAGATCACGGGGTTCGGACAGATTACATAGTATCTAAGCCTTGTAAGCAGGTTCTGGGAGATCCATGATCATATAATTTAATGCTATTTGCTTGTTCTCTCTTTCCTGTCGAGAACATTTATCTTTTGATAATGGAAAAGGAAAAAAGGGGAGAAGAAAAAAGGAGAGAAATGAAAGCCACGAAAACAGAAAAAGGCGCACAAACTCCACTCAAAGAGGCAATACGATGGAATCATATCACCGCTCTATGTCATATCAGGTGGGACATTATTCAAAAAGTCGGGAATACTTTCATAAGCGAGCTGATAGCTAAGAGGAGGGTAAGGGGATAAGGAGGGAGAGAAGGAGAAAGGAGAGGGGAAAAGAAGAGGAGAAGAAAAAAAACATATATATGAGGTCGAAAAATAAAAAATTAATGGATGATTTAAGGATAGGACATACATAATACATAAAACACACGATACTCTCAACAAGGCGAGGACAGAGGACGAGGCCAAGACAGCTCGATAGACAACAAGCGATGGGTAACCACACGCGAGAGAAGCAAGGGACGCACATACAACGACCGCAGAAGGGGAGGAGGCGAACAGAGACACACGCACAAATACACACAACAATATTTATATATTGTAGTAGGTTGAATGTGAGGAGAGAGATAGTATATGAAGAGTGAATATGAGAGTAAGGAGGGAAGTATATAGTAAAGTAATACTACTAGTAAGAGTTAAGAAGTAAAGTAGTAGAGTAAGGGGAGAATAGAGCATGAGTAGTAAGAGTAGATAGTGAGAAGACTAGTGAATTAGTATAGAGAAAGAGGGAAGAAGGAGTAAGCTAGTATTAGTAGCGTAAGATGAAGAGAAGAAGAGAAGAGAGAGAGAGAGAAGCAGAGACAGATGTAGAGAGGTAGAGAAGAGAGAGAGGATATGAGAGAGAGAGAGTAACTACTCGGATAATATCAGTGCAGTACACCGCTATAGTGAATAATACGAGCATAGGTAGATGTAAAATAATGAGCACGTAGTATAAGTAAGCATTGAATGAGGTAGACAATAGCATACATATATAAATATCATAATAATATATCATAGGGCTTATAGTGAGGTAATATAATATAAGTATATAATATATAGGGAGTATAGGTACTATTTATATATATAATAAGTAGTAGTATAGAGTAAGAGGTAAAGTGACATATATACATAACATAGGAATAAGTCGTGAGGTAACGGCACGGGTCCTTGCCAGTGATTTAGTTATTTATATTCGGGTGAAATTATCCAGTACTAGGGTGACTAGGAAAGATAAGGATTTATTAGTGGTAGGGGGATAAAGAAATAGTTTAGGTTTGTGTAACGTAGACGTAAATTAATTATAGAGACTACATTATTTACGGTCACTATACTTGGGTTTCACTTTAGATGGCGAGGCGTAGGGGGGGGTGATGGAGGGCCTGAGATAAGGGGGGGCTGGTGTATGACCTATGAGGCATACATACATACATATAGAATAATACATACATACGCAGATCATATAGGAGAGGGTGAGACGTAATAATACAATACCATAAAATATATATAACGTGAGCTGCATGAGTGATGGGGAAGCATACATAACACTGAAGTATAAATAGTAATCAATACATCCATACATTACATACATGACATCACATATATATATATATATTATTATTCCCTATATATAGACTATATATATATATATATATATACCTATACCTATATATACATATGATGCATGTATAATATACCACATAATATATATATAAATATAATATTCTACTATATTACTTATAGTATTATATCGATACTTCTACATATATATATATAATAATATATAATATAATAACAATAAGCGCACACACGTGTCATAATGTGTATGCTGATATGTGCGTACTATGTGTGGTTGTGTGTAGTGCTGTTGTGGTGTGTGTGTGTGTGTGTGTGTGTGTGTGTGAGTGTGTGTGTGTGTGTGTGTGTGTTGTGTGTGGTGTGTGTGTATGTGTGTGTGTATGTGTGTGTGTGTGTGTGTGTGTGTGTGTGTGTGTAGTGTGTAAGTGTGTGTGTGTGTGTGTGTGTGTGTGTGTAGTGTGTGTGTGTTGTGTGTGTTCGGCGGTAAGGAAGGCAGGGCCGTGATCATTCCATGGCCCGGAAGTGGATTTCTCAGTCAGCATGCGCCTCGTAGGTCATCCGGTCCTCTCTCGCTATCTCTCCTCTCCGTGCTCTTCTCTCTCTCAATCTCGACTCTTTCGTATCTCGTGGCTCTCGTCTCTTCGGTTCGCATTCTCACTTCCGGCTCGCGAGAGAGAGGGTGTGTGGGAGTGTGTGGTGTGTGTGTGTGTGTGTGTGTGTGGTGGTGTGTGTGTGTCGTCGGTGATGTGGTGTGTGTGTGTGTCGTGTGTGTGTGTGTGTGTGTGTGTGTGTGTAGTGCGTGAAGCGCGTGGGGCATGTGCGATGAGGGCATTTTGTGCGGAGGGCGTTTGAGGCGTGGGCCATTGTGTGTGGGAGGCGTTTCGCGAGGGTCGGGGCGTGTGGCGTGGCAGTGGGGCGTGGGCATGTGCGTGGCAGAGGGGCGGATAGTGGCGTGGGCATCTCGGGGCTGATGCGTCTCGGCTTTCGGGCTTGTGTGGTTGCATCGTGCGTGTGCATGGTTTGATGATTTATACTCAATAGTATAACTGTAAGATATATATATATAGATAGTATAATACTATAGCATATGATATATAGGTATAAAACCTATAGGGATGTATATATGTATACTATATATTGTATATATATATATTCTTATATATGTGGCATATATGTAGATAGTAGGTAATATTTATATTAATAATTAGGATTAGTTATAGTATAGAAATATAGGTTTAATAGTAACACCTATATTAAAGGAGAGGGCATTGCAGATATATACCCAGTGGTAACATATATGACAATATAGAGGTATACATATATATTATATTATAATCCGCCTGATTATACCGTATGAGGGATATATAGGAGATTAAGATATGATAATAGAGAGCGCGTGGCATGATGAACGGACTATATATGACAACGCAGTATATATTATAAGAAGCCAGTATAATAGTATGGAGCGGATGCAGAAGATAGTATAGAGTGATGATAGTAAGAGATGAAATGTGATGAGAGGCGGTATGATATGTAGTATGTGATATATACTGTAAGTGATTACCGAGCGGACAGCTATAGTTAGTATGTGTGCGACATATATGTAATGTTGCCGTATACAAGAGCTCATATATATGAATAATAGTCACATTTGTATCCTATACTGTACAAGTAGAGGGTCAATGTGTAAGGCAGAGTAGAGAGAGGTGGAGGAGTAAGTAGGAGGAGATGGAGATGGATAAAGAGAGATGTATGGTATGTGATGTAGTATGATATGGAGAGGAAAGAGAGGGAGATAGAGAGAGAGGAGATGTGTGATAGTAGAGGTGTGTGGGGTGTGTAGATGTGTGAGTGGAGACGACGACGGGACGGTGCGTGTGTGTGTGTGTGTGTGTGTAGTGTGTTGTGTGTGTGTGTGTGTGTGTCGTGGTGTGTGTGTGTGTGTGTGTGTGTGTGTGGTGTGTGTGTGTGTGTGTGTGTGTGTGTGTGTGTGTGTGTGTGTGTGTGGTTGTGTGTGTATAAATGGGTGTTATATATAGATATAAAAATATACATAATATATATATATATATATATATATTAGTATATATATATTGTTGTTGTGTGTGTGTGTGTGTGTGTGTGTGTGTGTGTGTGTGTGTGTGGTGTGTGTGTGTGTGTGTGTGTGTGTGTGTGTGTGTGTTGTGTACGCGCGCGCGCATATGTATATGTATATACATATATATATGCATATGTATATGTATATATACATGTATATGTATATTTATATGCATATGTATATATATGCAAACACAGACACACACAGACACAGACACACACACACGCACAAATTATTAGAAAAAAACTACTTTAGAGGCATCAATACCTAAAGAACCTATTTAGGAACACAAGAACTTGGTAGAACCCTTGATGAAGAACCTTGGGGGGATCTCACAGACTTACTTGTTGCTGTGACTGAGAGCAACACCTCTTTTCTAGCACCTCATTTAAGTACTCGTAGAACGTCTTAATAGAAACTCGGCTTTAAAATTTCTCCTTGAACCTCTTCTTGAAACTTTGATTTTCTCCCCCCTTCCTTTGAATCTCTCTCTCTCTCTTTTTTTTATTTTATTTATTTATTTTTTCTAGAACTTCTTTGAATTTTTCCATAAATCTTTTTTTTGGATCTTTTCATACCTCTTCTTACTTTTTTTTTTCAAATATTTTTTACTTTTATTTTCTATCTTTTTAAGTCTCTCCTAGGATCCTCTGAGGTAAAGGGTGGTTGCTGGGAAGTTGAAAAGTTGGTAGGAGTCCGTTCACCTAGGAGGAAGAGGGAGACATGAAAGGAAAAAATAAGTGAACATTATGCAAACTGTAACACTATACACATACATATATATATATATATAATATATATATATATATATATATATATATATATATATTAATATATATATATATATATATATATATATATATATATATATATATATATATATATATATATATATATATATATATATATATATATATATATATATATATATATATATATATATATATATATATATATATATATATAAGAAAGTCAGATAAACTATCAAATCCAACAAGCAGCAAACCCATCTCCTTGATCTTGGGTCAAGGAAGAAGTACTGTTCTCCATGCTGCAAGATCTCCTGCTCCAGTCTTTGGATTCTGTCTTCCAGGTTAGCCACCATTTCAAGATTGTTTTTCTCCCTCGCTTCATCCAGCATCGTAATCATCTGCTTGCGGTAAAGGAGGATCATCTGCTCATCCTATGATGGGAGGGCAAGGGGGAGTGGGTTGGGAAGAGAGTCAGTCAATAATATTCAAAGGATTTAGATATAGTATGATTTCATGTCTGACAATTAAGGCACAGGAAATTTACTAGTAGAACGTATATGAACATCATATAACAAAGCATGAATTAACAATCTTCTTTCTGAAGTCACACTGATAAGAAGGTTAGAGGTTTATCAGCCATATTATTAAACTTCCCCGCGGGGCGGGCTCTCCCCAGAACCACTTCCCCCAGCACTTTTCCGCAATATTAAAGATTTGTAGGTGTCGCTCGCCCCGCGGGGTCCCCGCATAGTATTGGAACAAATGCAGGGCAACTAGAAGTAACCCGTACCAAGCCCTGCAAAATGTTAATCAAATATATACTCATATGAAAGCATACATAATATAAAAATTATATTCAAATGCTACTCAAAATAAATCATATGGGTCTTAACTATATATCTATATATATATATATATATATATATATATATATATATATATATATATATATATATATATATATATATATATATTTAGTTTTTAAAAAACTATCTCAGAAATTACAATAACTACCAAATACTAATGACTTATCCAAATATATATTCATGAAGAACTTTTATTTTGCTTTTCATATCAATGTAGATCCATACATGAGTGTATGCACGTCTAAAGGCATTCTCAGACCAAATGCCTATGTTGGAAATGAAAGTTTAAATCAACAAAACATGCAATAAACAAAATTCTAGGTAATTGGACGTGCATGCCTTCATATATATATGTATACGTAGACTGCCTGCACCCTTCCCTCAGGACTGAATTGCAGGGCCCACTCCAACATTTTAATAATACGGCCGTTTAACCCAAAGGTGCTAGGTAATCACACTGTCTACTGTTTTCTTTGTGAATTTTGTTTGCACAGAGATGGCTCTACAAGTAATTAGCCACTAAGGAGCCAATTAGTATGCCTCTGCTGATTTACCCTTTCCATGATTTTTCAGGAAAAATGTATTTCTTTCTAATGCTATTATCATCAATGATGTTATTACTATTGTTAATTTTCTGATTATCATAATTTTATCAATATTAGTAATAACATTAAAAAATAAAAACAATCTTGAATATCAAGAAAGAGGGATAAAGAGGTGAACTAGATAGGACTAGTAATTGCCTCCTTGGTGATTATGCACTTGTGAAGTCATCTATGTATAAAGACAATTAATAAATAAAAAGACAGTGGATATGCCATGCATTCTTGCTATCAAGGCAGGAGCGCATGCCATTAATCAATATACCCAGACTATCAAGTGGCAAATTATGAGTTTTCTGGCATAATCTAGTGTCAGGCCATAGTGCAGTTTACAGATCTCACCTCTCTTGTGATCTTCATGTGCACGAGGAGTGATGCAAGCTCGATTTCCTCAGAGTATCCATTCTTCAGGGGAACACTGCGATAACCTTCACGTATACACGTCACCTGTTGGGGGGATTCTGCATTATATGCTTATTCTTATAGCCACTATTTTCTTTAATTTTTTCCACAAAATATTTTCTTTTGTTTATCACAATAAAAGTATATCATCTTTTCTATCAGACTAAAAATACTTTCTCCCTGGATTGTCTCTCCTTTAGACCAGTTTTGATTTGTAGAAATGTAAGAATGGGAATGAAGATATTCACCTTGCATACCTTTTTCCTACAAATGCCACAATGAACTCTGTTCATAGGCTTTGATTTACCAAGCTGTATCAGAAAGAAAACCAACCAAAAATATATGGTAAACATGTCATATTTACTTATATAAAGTAACTTCAGCTGCAGTATGTGTATTTGTGTGACTGACATAAAAAGTCCATCATATTTTCTCACCGGGTACGTTGCCTGGCCAATCTGGTTTGGCTCTCCAAACATGTCCTCATCATACAGCACAAAACGGATGAGTGCACATTCTGGGTTGTGCACTGAGAACATCAGCTTCACGCCCCACACTGGGTTGAGTCCATTGTCATCTAAGAGGAAAGAATTACAATATTTCTGATTCTGTATTCTTGTCGAATCCCTCAAAATAAGGATATTTTCATAAACATAGCCTTTTTTTTATATAGAAAAACAAGCAAAAGACTACAAAGGGGGTATAGGATGTCCTGACCACAGTCCTTCTAAACAAAATAAAATGAGTCCTATCTCAATTAGTCAAAAGATTCAGTATGAACAGAAACAGCAAGAAAAAAATGCATATCTCATGTAGAGTATAGCATTGTATCCCCACCCTATAGCATCATAACTATTTAACGACAATATACATCACATGATGCAGAACATATAGCTGCGACATTCAACATAACATGAGAAAGCTCCTTTTGAATCATATGCACCACATACTTCTCTCATATGAAAGAGTTTACCATTTTCTGTCTCCTTGGTGTCTTAGATGGCCTCTAACTTTAATCGCAAGAGTTACTGTCCTAAATGAGTTGTTGTTGTATTAGCATATCAGCTACAGAAGAAACTGAAAACCTGTTACAAGCTACGTCATGATTTCCATTTTCTATTTTCTCTTTTCTACTTTTTGCTTTAACCCTACCATGATGGGTCCAGAATTTTCTGTCCATAATAATCATACAACAGTATAGGCTTTCTGGCTGGGTGAGTTATGACGTGTATAAACATCACACGTCATTACATTGTTACATCATCAGGGCTGTAAGTGTTCCCGTCACTAAGAGGTTAAACTAGCAAGCTAAAAACTGATCTTGAAATTACTTCTAGACAATGAACTTACGGACAGCTCTGGTGGTGTACTTCGGAGCGTTGTCGTACTCACAGCCTATAATCTCTACCTCAACCAGGGGTGAAATGAAGCCCTTGCCGGACTTGCTCAGGTGCCGTGCACCAAATATCTGCCAGGATGAAAGAGGACAAGATGGGAAAAGAGAAGAAAACAAGGTGAGTATGATCAATAAGCACACAGGATGAAGAGATGTAGACCTGAAATTAAATTTCCTACATACATCTGTGTGCAAAGTTAAGTTTATATATAAAGAAAACAAAAGCAAGAAAAATTACACAAGCACAATGAATTACCATATGTGTCTCAACTTCACAGACAGTAACAACTACTGCTTTATAGAGCTTATACCACCCACACTATTAGTCTTAGTACCAGTGATTTGTTCTACATACCTTTATGGAGAGGTTCAGTGGTCTAGGGTTGGGCAGGGTGAGGGGGTTGCCTGGGTCATAGTCAGGGTTGTTCTGGAATTCTGGTCGCAAGATATAGCCACATTTGCCATTCTGCATATAGCCATTTTGCCATTGCCGCCCCTCATTTAGCTGCATGGGTTTATCTGGAATAAGAGATGGTCTCTATTGTTCTATAATACCATTACATTTCCCTTGCTCTGGAGCGAGACTCAGGCCTGGGATTACCATCCTTGTAGCAAAATCTAGGTGAACTATCTAGGAAACATAGGGATTGTTTTGTTTTGGTGAGGAAAAAACAGATCAGCTAATATGCTCCATGTTGCTTAACCCATTCATGCCGGTATATTTTGAAGCCAAAAATAAAAGATTCCATGCGGCTACAAAATCGGCGGGTGGAGCTTCCCCTGAGTCTGCCCAAATGTGGACTGGCACACTAATTTATGCCAAGCCTTACCTCCTTTCCTGAAACCTTTTTTCTGGTCATTATCAGTTTAAAGACTTAGACTGGGATAGGCCAGCCCTTAATTTTGGAAAGTAATTCCCCAAGGAAACTAGGCAATGTGAATAGTTCAGGAATCAGAACTAGATATGAATAAAATAATGTTCCTTCGAAAATTCTTTAATATTCTGGTCATACCATTTCTCTCAAAGACTCTTTCTCTCCTTTCTCTTCCAATCTCTTCTCCTCCACCCTTCTACATCCCCCTCTCTTCTTTCCCCTCTGGCTACTCTAAGAACCCACCTCCTGTCTGGTAGTTGAGACAGACCATCTGGCATCCATGGTTCCACATGGGTACCGGGTTGTAGTTGGTGGAGTCCAACCGTGATGACTTGGGGTACACACGGCTGAAGCCGACCTGTGGATCAAGGGTGGATGTATCATTAGCCTTCTCTCTCTCCCTCTCCTTCCCTCCCTCCCTCTCCTTCCCTCCCTCCCTCTCCCTCTACCTCTACCACAATGGGTATACTAATAACAAAAATTATTAAAATATAAAGATGATGATAATAATTGTGACCAACATGCCTATCAACAATAATACTATTGAAATCATAGAGCCCAACAACATATTTTCAAAAATCCTTAAAAACACATTGTGGCCTACCTTATGGAACTTGAGCAATCCTTTAGGGCAGCTGAGCATGAGGCTCTCCATCCTGTTCTCAGGGAAGGACGAGACCTCATTGTGTGTGCCCCCGTAAACAAACTGCTTGCTGGGGTCACACCGCACTGCTCGGAAGTAAACTACCAAATTGCTCATCTCCTGCTTGATGCGCTGCTCTGGTTTCCTCGTCTGTCTGGTCTGGTTCTGAGGATGGCAAGAAGGTGAGGGTAAGGGGCTTTCATGTGTGCTTTTATACATCAAGAAGCTAATGTCTCACTGTATCTCATTGACTTTTGTGTGTGTGTGTGTGTGTGTGTGTGTGTGTGTGTGTGTGTGTGTGTGTGTGTGTGTGTGTGTGTGTGTGTGTGTGTGTGTGTGTGTGTGTGTGTGTGTGTGTGTGTGTGTGTGTGTGTGTGTGTGTGTGTGTGTGTGTGTGTGTGTGTGTGTGTGTGTGTGTGTGTGTGTGTGTGTGTGTGTGTGTGTGTGTGTGTGTGTGTGTGTGTGGTGTGTGTGTGTGTGTGTGTGTGCGCACGCGCGGGAAAGGGGAAGCTTTATTTTCCAAAGTTAAGGATACTTCCTTTTAAACTGCACAAGGCACTCTGTATCATTTGCCTTTCAGTTCACAAGAAACCCAAAACTTACATCAGCCAGACATCAACCCGAGGGAAAATATCTAATCAGACAAAACACTGTTAACAGGAGCACCACCAACAGAAAAAAGGATGCCTTACCACAGCTGCTGGTGAGGAGACGCTCTCAATCTTTTTAACCCACTCTTGTGCTTGCTGCTCTGAGGTGCAGGCCAGCTCCACCACCTGGCCTGTTTGTGTAGTCAGTCTGCCAGGGGGAGAATCATTCCATAAGTTACCCACACAAGATCAATAATACTATATATTAGTATCAAAAGCTGAAAAGAAATCAGCAGCCATAAACGGTTCCAAAATATTGATCTATATTATGATTAATATTATGGAAGCTACCATACATGATCAATAATACTGACATGCCAGTATTGCTGACCAAAAATTAATCTTCTTTTAATATGAACATTGACCACTCCTTCAATATAACCCATGCATTGTCAAAAGTACTAATCAATACCCAAATTTTTAAAATATCACTAATTGGATACAAACACAGTGGCATGTGCACAAAGATGAATAGGAAAACAGCCACAATTAGAAACAAAATTGAATTGTGACATTTTGAACTTGTCAAGAGTTCCTCATCAGAGAGATAAATAACTGGTTATTTATAAATCTAATGAGGAACTCTTGGCGAGTTTGGGTAACCTGAGAAAAGAATAAAAGCAAGATGAATAACAAAAAGAAGAAGAAAAAAAAAAAAAAAAAAAAAATCTCAAAACACACCTGGAGCAGAGAGAGAGAGAGAGAGAGAAAAAAAGGGGGAGAAGAAAAGTACCAGAAAAAGAAAAACGGAACAAAAGAGAATAGAGAAGAGACTATGGCTACGGGGACCCACTTTATAATGGACACAATGCCCCAGCGGTTGGTTCCTGTGACTTTCTCAATCTTGGTTCCGGCCCTTGAGATGTCAATGCTCCCCTTCTGCAGGCTGCCCAGGACTTGGTTGTCTCCTCCCTACAGAATAAAAAGTAATAAAGGAATAAACCAGTAAAGTAGATGAATCAACCAAAAGCAGATTAATAAATGACAACTATAAACAACCGCCCATTACTAGAGTATCTCCTCCTAAAGAAATGTTTTTAAAGTACATCGACACCAAAAATTTAATTAAAAAAAAAGAAAAGAAAAGAAAAAGAAAAAGAAAGAAAGAAAGAAAAAAAAAATCTAGCTCACTCTCTCCTCCATATTCTCTGGCTCAATCTCCTCCACGAAGATAGCTGGGAACCAGTGCTGCCTCCGTCCCCCATAGTCCCCCGTCCACCACTCCTTTTCTGCCTTTATCACATTCTGGATGATGGCATGGCGTGGGAAGGTCAGCTCGTCGTCCTTGTTGGCACGGTAAGAGTACTTGGCCTTTACATGGATCTGAGAAGGAAAATAGGGAGTGGTTTGGTTGTTTTCTTTAAGGTGGTTGAAGTTGAAAGCATTGTCCATAGGCTGTGGCAATAGTGTGAATGACAGCAGAAAAGTGTAAAACTGATTTATCAATTTCTGTACTTTATTTCTCAGGGTTTCTGCTTGCCAAATTGGTGAGAGAGAAGGCAATTAATGAGAGTAAATTAAAAAGGCGACAGCTTACGTTGCTAACGTAGGCAGGATCCACTACGTAACCTCCAGTGCCATCAACAGGATCCTATTAGAGCGGGAGAGAGAAAAAATATATAAATGAATAAAAATAAATATATAAAATTAAAGCTTAATTTTTTTCTAATATACAAGATAAAAAAGTATTTTCCCAAAACTAAGATTTCACATTATCACCCACCATATCTTGGAGACCTTGGATTACACGCTCCGTCACTGGATACCGCAACTTGACCCGGCGAAAGAGGAAATTCCGCTCATAGTACTTAATCAGCTCCACCAAGCTGTCAAAGGTTGCTGTGCCTATGATGAATGTACCATCCTCTTGCTTTACTCTGCAGTGCTTTGTCCGTCTCTCTGCTCTGGATGTTAATCAGGAAGCAATGAGCAAATGGGGTTCTGGCATTGTGGACAA